TTCAGAGGCAGTTAATTGCAAAGGAGGAGATTTTGGTAGAAAACTTAATTTTGATAAAGGACATGCTTGGATTTAGTGTGAACTCAAGTCAACCTGACGTTAGCATGGCTCCATGCTCAGCAGTTTCTCCTTCCAGGTCAGAGTACTTAGTTGTTGTGTTATTGTTATGTGCCATCGAGTCACCTGTGACTCATAGCGACCCTACCTATGTACAATAGCCCTAAACCCTGCTCTGTCCTATCCCATTCCTATTGTCTCTAACACATCTGCCTCTATTATCCCAGTTACTGAATCAATCCATCCCATTGAGTGTCTTCCTCTCCTGCGTTGTTCCTCTTCTCTCTCAAGTATGATGTCCCTCTCCAAGGATTGGTCCCGCCTTGCAACATGTCCAAAGTATGTCAGATGGAGCTTCAGAATCCTTGCCTCTAAGGAGCAGCCTGGCTTCTCCCTCTCCAGGATGAACTTGTTTGTTCTCCTAGCATTCCATGGTATATTCAACACTCTTCTCCAGCACCACAGCTCAAAGGCATCAATTCTTCTTCTATTATTGCTAGTCATTGTGCAGCTTTCTGATGTATAGCAAGTAATTTAAAAAACTATGGCCTGGGTCAGGTGTACCTTAGTCTTCAGGCTGACATCATTGCTCTTCAGTTCTTTGGAGAGGTCTCTGACAGCAGACTTTCCCAGTGCAATGCATCATTTACTTTTCTGGCTGCTGGAACCAAGAGTGCTTACTGTGGAGCCAAGAAAACTAAAGCTGTTAACAATCTAAATCCCTTCACCATCTAATCATGATGCTGTCAGTCTGCCCAGTGCAAGTGCTTCAGGTCCTCCTCAGTTTTAACTGCATAACACAGATTGCTGATGAGTCTTCCTCCAGTCTTGATGCTACTTTTTTTCCTCACAGAGCCCAGCCTCCCAGATAGTCTATAGATAGAAAAGGTGTAGAGATAGGACATCCCTGGCATACACTCTTCCCAATTTTGAACCATACAGTGATTCTTTGCTCTGTTCTGACGACTGCCTCCTGGTCCAAGTATAGGTTTCACATAAGCACAATCAGGTGTTCTGCTCTAGGAATTAGTTCTTTACTATCTTAGAAGACAGCATAGTACAATAAGTAAATATTCATGAGTTTGGAAGTCAACTCAGACAACAAACAAGCAACTTCTGTCTCCACGATTTAATAGCTCTGTGACCTTGAGTAAGTTATCTGACATCTATAAACTATGAGGATGATGGTACCAACTTCAGCATTGATCATTCGTTTTACGTTAATTGCTAGGCTTTTGGAATACGATGCTGCTGCAGTTGTTGGGTGCCATCAAGTCAACTACAACTCATAGTATGACCAACAGATGTGAACATTATCCTCTCCGACACCATTCTCACCATCTCTGCTAAGCTTGAGTCCATAATTATGGTGAATGTGTCAATCCCTGTTGTTGGGTGTCTTTATTTGACCCTCCCCTCTTCCCAGCGTGATGTATTTTTCTAAGGACTCACTACCACATGCCCAAAGTATGTGAGATGAAGCTTCTCCATCCTTGCCTCCAAGGAGCACCCTGTTTGCAGTGTGGTTTATCTGAAATAATATACGCAAAATGTCTGACACAAGATTTGGTAGAGGGTGAAGGCTTAACAAGAACCCATTTCTAGTTGCTTTTGGGAACTCAGGTGACTTGGTGGTAAGAACTCAGAAGCATGTCATTTGACTTCACCAGCTGTTCCATAGGAGAAAGACAGGAAACCTCCTCCTTTGCAATTAACTGTCTCTGAAAACCCACCTGGAAATCTCTTCTCTTGAAGTTAACTGCCTACAAAAACCCTCTGGAGGGTCATCTATGGGTTGGTTGCAACTCAATGGTACAACCACAAGAACTGTTGAGTTAATTCTACCTCACGGAGACACCATGCATGTCAGAGTAGATGGTGTGCCATAGGATTTTCAAGGGTTGATTTTTAAAGAAATTGACATCTTCTGGGCTTTCTTCTGAGATGCCTCTGGGTGAAGCCAAAGCTCCAAACTTCTAGGTAGTAGCTTGGTGCGTTTTAACTGTTTACACTCCCCAAAACTCCAAAGACCCAAATTAGGTGTCATCCAATCCAATAAGACTCACAGTGACCTCATGAGGAACAGATCTGGACCTTGGCCTCTCCCTGTGCCATCCTCACAATCTCTGACACACTCAAGCACACTATCACAGTCACTGTGTCGATCCACCAGGTTGAGGGTTTTCCTCTCTTTCGCTGTCCCTCCACCTTCCCAAGCATGACGTCCCTTTCCAAGGAATATCCAGTCTTAGCAACATGCCCTAAGAATGTGAGACAAAGCTTTATCATCTTTGCCTCCAAGGGTCACTCTGAAGAATAATACTAAATGATAGAACAAAAGGCTATTTGTGTTACAGGAAGCATTGTTTCCTGAATAAGGGGACATTTTAAAATAGTGTTGTATAAATCATTCCTTTTTTCTTTGGCTGACACCCTTCCTGAGTTTAAAAAAAATAATAAAAGGAATAGCAAATCATGTGTTGAATGCTAAATATAAACTTTATATATACTAATTCACCGACCCTTCACAACTACTCTCTTCATTAAATCTTCACTTTACCAATGAGGAAATGGAGGCCCAGAGAAGTTGAAAGGACTTGCCTAAGAGCACAAGTGAACACGTGGCAGAGCTGGGATCTGGCTCCAGCTGGTCTGACTCCAAAGCTAATGACCTCATCAATTCTCCCATCACGCTGCACGCCATCCCATTCCTATGGAGTAAGCTCTGAGCATCTTCAGGAAGAGGTGGGTGGACAAGGTCATGGGTTCTGGGGAGTTCAATTTAGAGACCCAGAATCCCTGTGACCCCAGTTCCTTTCAGGAAGGTTCTATGGAGTCCCCACCCATTTTTACATCCTTTCCTGGGTGTCTTTCTCACATCATCTGAGACCAAACCAGCTCATCCTGAAATGCAGTCCCTGGGGAGCTGGGCAGTGGAGGAGGAGCCAGCTAGGGTGGGGTGACCTGTGTGGGTGGTGGGGCAGACACTGCTACTCTTGCTCTCAAGGGCCCAGCATCATGGTGGCTTCATCACAAACTCTTGTTCTGGCAGCTTCGCTGTTGTGTTGGTGCCATCAAGCCAGCTCTGACTCATAGCAAGAGTCTGTTCTATGCAGCAGAATGAAACCCTCTCCATTCCTGTACCTCCTCTTAACGTCTGCTATGCTATCTTACTGAGGGTCTTTCTCTCCTTAGTTGACACTCCACGATGTCCTTCTATAAGGACTGCCAATTCCTGACAACGCTCCCAAATTATGTGAGATGAAGTTTCATCATCCTTCCCTTTAAGGAGTGGCTGGACTTCTTCCAAGACAGATTTGTTTGTTCTCTTGGTTATCAATGGGATGTTCAATACTCTTCTCTAACACCATAATTCAAAGGCATCAATTCATTCTAAGTCTTTCTTATTCATTGTCCAACTTGCAAATGCAACTGCAATAATTGAAAATACCATGGCTTGGGCCAGGCACACCTTACATTTTAAAAATGACATCCTTGCTCTTTAGCACTTTTGGATAGGTCTCTTTTTATTTTATTTTTTATTTAAAATTTTTTTTTTATGTGTGTACCATCAAATTGAATCTGACTGGTGCAGAAGGAGACTGCGCCTCCTTCTCCAGAAGAGCATCTGGTGGATTCGAACTGTGTACCTCTGGGATTGCAGTGCAGCTTCCTGCCATTAGGCTGCCAGATCTCCCTTAGGATAGGTCTCTTAACAGCAGATTTTCCTAATGAAAATGTATCTTTTGATTTCTTGACTCCTATGATCATTGATTGTGAATCTAATAATTTGAAATTGTTGACAACTTCAGTCTTTTCTCCATCTATCATGATATTACCCTACTGGTCCAGTGGTGCATAATTTTGTTTTCTTGATGTTGAGGTATAACCCATATTGAAAACTAAAACTGTGGTCTTTTATTGTCAGTAAGCTAGTCAAGTCCTTTTAATTTTTGGCAAGCAACATGTGTTATCTGCATAACATAGGTTGTTGATGAGTCTCCCTCTAATCTTGTTGTCCCATTTTCACCCCTCGTAGTCCAGTGTCTTCAAGTATTTATTCCGCATTATAGAGTTAACTAATATGAGCCTTGGGGATAGTTCCTTTGAATGGAGATTAGTGTTGTAAAAGACCTACTTAAGCCCTCTGAGAGTGGATGGCTCAGAGAGAGCCCGCAAGGCTGTGGGACAGGGTCCGGTTAAACTCTATGTTCTAGTATGGGAGTAGGGTATCCGAGCCTGCAGGTGTCCCTGAGGTGACTCATCCCAATTTTATTATTTGACATGTAAAGAGTCCGAGGGTCAAGGTGATAAACAGACTTGATCATGGCTGTGGAGCCAGTGAGCAGTGATTTGAAACTTGGATCATTTGGTTCAAACCCTTATATTCTTTCCTCAGCAGATGGTCTCTGAATTTGTTGAAGAGGAACTTTATTATTTTTCTTTTTCTTTTAAATATTAAAAACATTCCTCTTTGAGTGAGTTTTTAAATCATACTGGTTTTTCATTTAATCACTCATACACATTTTCTTTTATAACATTAGCTACAATTGACTAATCCCTTATCCTAAATCACTTATCCTAAAGAGGAACTTTGTTGACATTGCTGTACCATTGGAATGTGCATTTATTGGGACCACTTGGTTCAGAATCCTTTGGACTTGAGGATTCCCAATTTTCCAATTGGCTTGCTTCTCAAGAAAAGTTGTTTACTTTTAATTAAAAAAAGAATGTGCACTTATGCAATTAGAAGTATTTTGGTTCCCATTTTGTTTAAATAGTACCTTAATGTTAAAGAGAAATATTTCAGGGTTTCATGTCCCAGACAGTGATAACCCCCTCTAATTTCTTAATGTTCACGCTGTCTCTTTGTGTGGGGAGGAGGGATCTGTCAAATTCACTAAATGCTAGTTACATTTATTGACAGAGTCAATGACTCTTACCTGTTCAGCGATAAAGAGCAGACCAGTCTTTGTCCCAAAATGACCAGGCCGACACTGGTACTAGCCACCTGTAGATAACAAAAATACTCATTATGGAGAGCAGTGGCAATGCCCATTTGGGATCACAGACACTATTTACTAGAGCAGAAACAGCGTATTTCCACCTGCTTTCTCATTCTGAGAAATACTGGGAAGAGACAATTCTAAAAATATTGTTTTGCTCGTGGGAAAACAAAAGATTTTGTGTTTGAGATTTCCTTTGAATTATATTTTTTCTTTACGCATAATCCTTTCCCATGTAATGTGTGTGTATAAGGGTCAGAGAGAAAGAAAAGATGGGGGGTGGGAAAGAGAGAGAGAGAGAGAGATTTGCTGAGATTCACTAGATTGGTCCCCTTTCCATCAAACTGCACTTGGTTTTCATTGGCTGAAAGAAAATGAGTTCCACTTTGATTCATTCTGAGGAAAAAAGTTAATCTCTTAATGTAACTAAGCAGTATGCGGGTCACAAAGAAAGGGGGAAAGGGCAGGAGAGATATTTCCTATCCTATGACCTAGTGTTAAGGGTTTGGATTGCCCAAAGGCACACAGTTGGAATCAAGCAACTGGTCCGTGGGAGAATGATGAGCAATCTCCTCTGTGGGATTTACCGCCTCTGAAAATCCACTGGAGGCTCAGCTATGAGTTAGTTCTGATTTATAGTATGCAATAACAACTACAACATAGGGGTGTGAAGGAGTCCTGAGGGCATAACTTTCTATGAACCAAAAAGCTGGCATTTTGGATTCAGTGGTTTTGAGGGAGAAAGACTTGGAGATCTGTTCCAGTAGAGATGGCAGTTCAGAAACCTCCCTATGGGACAGCTCTACTCCGTCACCTGAGTCACTATGAATTGAAATTGACTCGGTGACACCTAAAAACAATGACATAGAGGAATGAGTGTTCATCTCCCATTCTCCATTCTAAACCTGTCCTTCTAAATTTTAAGTACTGGATCACCCCTCAACCCTCCAAGGAGTTAGAAGCTGCTGCTTTGTGGTCCAAGGCGGGAACAGGATGGCCATCCATCCACAGGCTGCCTTCTGGCGAACTTACAAAGTCCATGGAAACAATGCTTTCTGTTGTTGAGTTCTCAGTCTGGGTGAGCATCATGATGGAGGCAGGGATGTCCAGGGTGAAGTTCCCGGGCTGTAAATTGATCCTAGGAGGCTCTGTTGCCATGATGCGGATCATGAAGGGCTGGGATGAGATATAGATCTCTGCAATCTGCTCATTCATGGGGAAAAAAACCCAAATAGACAAGGTTCAGAAGCTGTGAGGTCATGGACAGCATCATACATTTGGGTGGTGTTTGGTGATTAAATTTTACATCACAGAGAATAGCAGCTATCATTTGGAGTTAAAAGAGGCAAATGGCTTTTAATAACAAGGATAAAAATAAACACAAACTTTCTAATAATAACAAAATCCCCAAATAATAGCATAAACCCCCAACAACAACAGCTGGCATTTAGCAAACATATATTGCATGCCAGCTCCCATGCCAAAGCCTTTCTATATCTTCTCATTTAATCATCACAAATTCTCTGTGTTACCTCTACTTCACAACCAAAGAAAAGTGAGTCTTAAGGAGGTTAAGTAATTTTCTCAGCTTCCAGGCATGTTAAGTCGTAGAACTGGAATAAAAATCTAGGTCTGTTTCACTTTAAAAGCAAAATGCTGCATGGGGGAGAAAAAAAAAAAGAAGAGATGCTTCATGGACATCTTTTTGTCCTTAAGCACAAAACCTATGCCGCTTAGTACATTCTGTCTAATACTTAGCTATACTAAGGATTCTATGCAACTAAGGTATCATGCTAAAGTATTTTACCAAACTTACAGGTGATGGAAATTATTGCTTCACTTTCTACTTAAATGAATCAGGTCAAGTGTGGAAGAATCGTGTAGAAGAAATGTGATTTATTCTGTGAACTTTCAAAGCCTTAGGGGGTAACTTAATATATGAGATATATTCACTGAGGGGAATAGTTGCAGATATTTGATCATAAGGAGGAAAAATCCCTTAAGAATATAAAGATGGACTCATGCTTGGGCCAAAAGGAATAGGCACAATTTACAATTTGCCCAGAAGTGATAATATAATGAACCCAAATCACCATTAAGAAGTCAAACCCTTGCCACTCACCCGGGAAAGCACGACTCCAACGCCTTGGGAGTTTTTAACCAAATGATTGGAAATCTGGAAAATAAGAATCATCATGTCAGTGTAAGATTTTTTTTTTACACTTTCTTTGTTTTTTGAGGACCACTCAGTATTCACTAAGCTTTAATGAATGATGAAGCTATTGCATTACAAAATATTTTTATTTGTATTTGAAGGTAACCTATCATTCTACAGCCCACCACAGGCAAAGACCCACTAAAGAAGGTCACTTGTTCATAGTCATATGTGAAGTTGCTCCTTTTTCAGCTAATGATTTTTAACCCATGGGAACACTGTGCACATAAAGGTACCATCTGTATAGAAACACTTAATAGTCATTAACAATAAACTTTATATTTGTAGAGGTTACTGAGATGTGGGGTGATGTTTGGTGACTAATTTTAGAGGTTTTAATAATTTACCTTCACAGAAAAATGATTCTTCAGTGGGAAGCAGTTGTTAGGTGCTGTTGAGCAAAACTTAGATCAACCCTATGAACAAAATACCTCAACCTCATCCTGTCCTGTGCCATCCTCATCATCTCTGACGTGCTTGAGCCCACTGCTGCAGTCACTGTGTCAATCCATTCTAGTTGAGGGTCTTATGCTCTTTCACTGATGCTCTACCTTTCTAAGAATGATGTTCCTCTCCAAGGAATGGTCTTTCCTAACAACCTGCACAAAGTATGTGAGAAGAAGCTTTGCCATCCTTGCCTCCAAGAAGAATTCTGGCTGCACTTTCTCCAAGAAATGTCTGTTGGTTCTTTTGGCAGTCTATGAGATAGTCAGTGTTCTTCTCCAACACCACAGCTCAAAGGCATCAAATTCTTCTTCTGTCATCCTTAGTCATTGCCCAGCTCTCAGATGAATGGCAAGTGATGGACAAGACCATGGCCTGAATCAGGCACCAAAATGGGAAGCTAGAAGCTTTAATTCTTCACATTACATTTAGGGCTGTGAATATAAGACTCAGAACTGTAAGGTGTGCAAGTAAGATCTTTAGAATGAAAAGAACCATACAGGAGGTTGAACAATGCTATCGGACTGCCTGAGGAAAGTGTTCTCTTTAAAAGGAGGCACATAGCAAAGAAAATCAGTTGATATCTGTACTATTTCTGGTCATTGGGGCTAAATAGGTAGCTATTGCTAAAAGGAGAAAAAAATTATTGTGGGGAGAAAAATTTTTGTGATAAAATTTATATGCATATAAATATATTATTGTTGTTATTGTTGCTGTTAGGTGCCATTGAGTTGAGTATGACCCTTAGTGACCTGTGAACAACAGGTCTGAACCCTGTCCTATCCTGTGCCATCCTCACACTTCCTGACACATTAGAGCACATTGTGCAGTTACCATGTCAATCCACCTAGTTGAGGGTCTTCTTCTCCTTTGTCAACCCTCTGTCTTTATGAGTATCATGTCTCTCATCAAGAAAGAACCCCTGCTAGCAACATGTCCGAAATATGTGAGATGAAGCTTCACCATCCTTGCCTCCAAAGAGCACTCTGGCTGCATTTTCTCCAAGACATACCTGTTTGTTCTTTTGGCAGTTTATGGGATATTCCGCGTTCTCCTCCAAAACCATATCTCAAAGGCATCAATTCTTCTTCTGTCATCTTTATTCATTGTCCAGCTTTCGGATGCAGAACAAGTGATCAGAAAGACTATGGCTCGAATCAGATGCACCTTACATTACTCCTCAATGATTTTGAGAAGCCCATAACTGCAGACTTCCCAGTGTAATATATCACCTGATTTCCTGACTGCTGGTACCATGGGTGTTGATTGTGGATCCAAGTAAGACAAAGTTGTTGACACTTTTAATCTTTTCTCTGTCTATCATGATATTGTCTATTGGTCCAGAGGTAAGAATCATTGTTTTCTTAACATTGACATGCAATCTATATTGAAGGCTGTATTCTTAGATCTTCTGTAACAAGTGCTTAAAGTCCTCCTTATTTTCAGGAAGCAAGGTGTGTCCGCTGCATAACGAAAGTTACTGATGAATCTTCCTCTGATCTTGATGCTACATTCTTTTTAAAGTCCCGCTTCTTGAGTAATTTGCTCAGTATACAGATGGAATACGTATGGAAAGATAATATAACCCTGACACATTCCCTTTTTAATTTTAAACCATGTGTTAGTGTTCCCCTGTTCTGTTTGCACAACAGCGTCCTGTTCTAGGTATAGGTTTCGCATGAGCAAAATTATGTGCCCTGGGATTCCCTTTCTTCTCTATGTTAGCTATAACTTGTTATGATCCAGAGAGTCAAATGTCTTTGAACAGTTAATAAAGCATAAATAGACATTCTCCTGGTATTCTTTACTTTCAGCCAGGACCCATCTGTCATTAGATGATATCCTTGGTACCATGGCCTCTTCTAAATCCTGCTTAAACTTCTGGCAGTTCCCTATTTATGTACTGTTCTAGTCACTCTTGAATGATCTTCAGCAGTATTTTGCTTGCATATGATATTAATGATATTGTTTGATTGTTTCCACATTCTGTTGGATCATCTTTCTTTGGAATGGGATCTAATATGGAATTTTTCCAATCTATTTGTCAGATAGCTGTCCCCCACATTTACTGGCATAGACTGATGCGTACATCCAGGACTGCATTTGTTACTTGTTGTTGTTATGAATCATCAAGTCAGAATCAATTCATAGCTAACCCTCCAGCAGGTTTTCAGAGCCTATCGGAGGAGAATGATCATCTTTCTTCTGCGAAGCAGCTGGTAGACTCAAACCACCATGGGGTTGGCTCTACAACTACTTATCACTAGGCCACCAGATATCTCTCTATATACCTGGAGGCAGATTTTGAAATTCTGTTTCACATACTTTGGGTTTGTTGCCAGGAGGGCCCAGTCCTTGGAGAAAGACATCATGTTTGGAAGGCTGGAAGGACAACACAGGAGTGGGAGGTCTTGGATGAGATGGATTGACACAATGACTGTGGTAATGAGGCCAGGTATGTCGGAGACAGTGAGATTAGGGCAGGATACGGCAGGGTTCAGAGCTATTGTTCATAGGGTCACTATAAGTTGTAGCTGACTCGACAACATATAACAACAATTATTATATATCACAGTCTCTATATCTATCACGTGCAAACAAAATCCTGCTGAAGATTATCCAAAAATTACTGTAACAGTACACTAACAGAGAACTATCAGAAATGCTAGCTGGGTTTAGAAGAGGCCATGGCACTAGCAACATTATTGCCAACGTCAGATGGATCTTGGTAGACAGCAAAGAGTACCAGAGGAATGTCTATCTGTGTTTCATTGGGTATGCAAAGGCATTTATGTGGGTCACAGCAAATAGTGGTTAATCTTGAGGAGAATGGACATCCCAGAACACTTAATTGTGCTTAAGCAAAAACTATACATGGACTGGGAAGCAGTCCTCACAACAGAGCAGGGAAACAATGCATGGTTCAAAATCAGGAAAAGAGTGCTTCAGGGATGTGTGCTATCTCCATATCTTTTCAATATATATGCAGAACAGATCATTCAGGAGGCTGGGATTTATGAGGAGGAATGTGGCATCAGTATTAGAGGAAGATTCATCAACAACCTATGCTATGCAGATGATACAACCTTGCTTGCTGAAACTGAGGAGGACCTAGAGTGCTTGCTGCAGAAGGTCAAGGACTGTCATCTTCAATATGGATTGAAGCTCAACATCAAGAAGACAAAGATTCTCACCACTGGGCCAATTGTCAGCACCATGATTGATGGAGAAGAGATAGACATTGTTAACAATTACAGTTTGTTCAGCTTCAAAATCAACATTCTTGGCACTAGCAGCCAGGAAATCAAAAGATGAATTACATTAGGTAAATTTGGTGTCAGGGACTTTTCCAGAGTACTGAGAAGCAACAATGTTAGTTTAAAGACTAATCCAGGCCAGGGTCTTTGCAATTACTTGCTATGCATCAGAGAGCCGGACAATGACTAAGGATGACAGAAGAATGGATGCCTTTGAGTTGAGTTGTGGTGCTGGAGAAGAGTCTTGAACATATGGATCACCAAGAAAACAAATAGGTCTGTCTTTGAGAGGCTGAAACCAAGTTTCTCCTTGGAGGCTAGGATTTTGAAGCTCCATCTCACATTCTTTGGTACGTGGCCAGGTGGGACTCATCCTTGGAGAAGGACATCATGCTTGGAAGAGTGAAGGGACAGTGCTGGAGTGGAAGACCCTGGATAGGATGGATTGAAACAGTAACTGGGACAACAGCTCAGTCCCTCAATGACCCATCTTTTCCTCCTGTTTTCCTCTAAAAATCTCTGCTATCTGTACATTTGCCTTTTTCACCTAAGTAAGATCATATACTATTTGGCCCACGTGGAATAATTTTTCAGGGTTCACTCTGTCTGCACCAGGACCTCAGGTGTGTCAGAGTCAGTGAAACTGGCTCAGGCCAGGGTAGGCTTCAGTGCTATTGTACATAAGGTCACTATGAGTCACAGGCCACTCAACAGCACATGACAACAACAACATATGTATAAGTGTTCTACTATTTATATTTGAAAGTAACCTATTTTTACAGTGACATCAATTATTTTCTTCATATTATACAACCATTACCACTGTTTACAAATTTTTCTGCCACCAACAGCTCAGTCCCTCAAACAATGACCCATCTTTCCTCCTGTTTTCCTCAAAAAAATCTCTGCTATCTGTACATTTGCCTTTTTCACCTAAGTAAGATCATATACTATTTGGCCCTCTTGGAATAATTTTTCAGGGTTCACTCTGTCTGCACCAGGACCTCAGTTCTCCTTATGACAGAGTATTTAATTGTAACCATTTTGTTTATCCATTCATTCATCAAGAGGCATCTTTATGTTAACACAGCATAACAAGGAATAATAATACTGATGACGATGCCGTTTCCCTGCACACGCTGCCACTGAATTGCCTTTGACTCATGATAGAGATTCTGTCATGATTTTGACTCAGGATAGAGAAACTCTGTCTCAGATTTCTGAGGGTATACATCTTAATAGGAAGAGACTGACTTATCTTTCTTCCATGGAGCAACTAGCAGATTTTTTTTTTAGCTTTAGAAAACAGAATTTTATTTTCTCAAGTTTAGGAGTTAAAAGTCCAAATCCAAGTCTTGGCCATGTCAATTTGTTCCTTATCAATCGCTCTGGGCATTTGTTGGTTTCTTGATGTTATTTGGATTATATTCATTCTCCTCCATATAAATATCTCTCTATATCTAATCTTTTCTTTTTAATTTTTTTTTATATTACTCTAATCTGGGCTATAGTCTTCGCAATTGCATGCTGTGCATCAGAGAGCTGGACAGTGACTAGGGATGATAGAAAGAGAATTAATGCCTTTGAGCTGTGGTGCTAGAGAAGAGTGTTGAATATACCATTGACTGCTAGGAGAACAAACAAGTTCATCCTTGAGAGGGTGAAGTCAGGCTGCTCCTTGGAGGCAAGAATTCTGAAGCTTTGTCTGACATACTTTGGGCATGTTGCAAGGCGGGATCAGTCTTTGGAGAGGGACGTCATGCTTGTGAAGGTGGAGTGACAGCACAGGAGAGGAAGACCCTCAATGAGATGGATTGATTCAGTCACTGGGGTAATGGGGATAGGTGCATCAGAGACAATATGATTGGCAAGGCATAGAGCAGGGTTTAGGGATGTTGCACACAGGGTCTCTATAAGTCACAGGTGACTCAACGACACATAACAATGCTCATATTAACTCTGATAGTGGAACTATTATTATTTCTGTGATTTTTTTTAAAAAAGAAACCTCTGCAGAGACAGCAATTGAAATTGATACTAAGTGGTGGCAACAAGTGGCAGGTAATGGTGGAGGGGAATATGACCTTCTTTATGGTCAATCCAGAAGAGACTCCATGTATCATGAAAAAAGCTGAAATCTGCAGCACTGGAAAACCACTCTTTAACTAAGAACAACATTCACGTCATAATTACTTAATTGATGATCCTGCTAGGAGTGTTGACTCATGAACAGAAGCCATAACATGAAAGCCTCACAATGGGATAATTATAAACAGATTCAATAGTAGTACCTTTGCCATCTCACCTCTTTTGTGGAGAGAGTGACGTTGAAGGCTCCAGCTGTAAAGTGAGCAAAGGATGCAGATTTAAAGAAATACTCAGAGATCCCAACGTAGAGCATCGAGTCACTTCGCTCAGGGAGCATGAAGGGTTCTGCAGAGAATGGGGGGTCAGCCAGGTTCTCCAGTGGGTAGAAGGTGCCCTGTAGGAAAACAGAGAAAGAGCAATGTGTCAAGAGAAAATGCAGGGTGAAAGAAGGTTGACTCTTCCAAGTTCAATTAAGAGACATTCCAGAAAACCAGTTAGCAAACCAAACCAAACCAGTTGTCCATGGATTCCACGCTCACCCCTGGTGCCCTTTTGTGTTTCAGAGCAGAACTGTGCTCCATTGAGTTTTCAGTGACTGTATTTGGTGTAGCAGCAGTTCAGTGTGTTAACCAGCTTAGTTGCTGTGAGATAGAGTCGAGTTGACGACTACTATGACTCATAGGGATACTATGACCACAGATCTGAGCCGTGCCCTGTCCTGTGCTGGCCTCGTGTTCTCGGTCATGCTCAAGCCCATGGTGGTGGTCACTGTGTCCATCCACCTCACAGATGGTCTTCCCTGTCACTGACTCTGCATTTTCCAGCATGATGCCCTTGTCCAAGGATTTTTTTCACCTAGAAAATATGTCCGATTGTAAATGAGATTTAGTTTTACCATATTTGCTTCTAAGGGACATTCTAGTTACAATTCCTCCAAGCAGATTTATTTGTTTTGGCAGTTCGTGGGATATTCATTCAACCCATGTACAACCTAGGTATTCCAGGAACTTAGTAGTAGGGACTGAGAAAATGATCAAGTCCTGACTTCTTGACAAGTAACTAAATTTAACAGCTGTGATTACTTCACCCTGATGTACAATCCAGCGGAAATCTCCTTGCTTGGACATTTTACAGAGAAAGTAGAAATGGAAGGACTACTTAGAAGTGGAAGGACCAGTTTTGAACAATTCTCAAAGTGCCGTGTAGAGATGTCAAACCATTGACTTTCAAAATTTGACTGTTAAGTGCTTGGGGAGTCATAGAAGGACTCAGAAGACCCAGGATGCTAAACAGTTTGAGGAATTTTTGTGACATTTCTAATTGCATTCTCTAGGATTAGGTGTTATTGGAAAGTGTTGTCACATGTAAAATGTAACTGATTTGAACGATTTTTTAATTTTTTATAATTTTTTTATTTGTGTTTGTGTGTGTGTACCGTCAAATCGGATCTGACTGGTACAGGAGGAGAGTGCTCCTCCTTCTCCAGCAGGGCATCTGGCGATTTGAACTGCGCACCTCTAGGATCGCAGATCCTGCAGCTTCTTGCCACTAGGCCACCAGAGCTCGCCTGAACAATTTTTTAAAAGCCAAAGCCCACTGCTAAAGGAGTTGATTATGACTCTGTGTAAGACAGACTAGAACTGCCCCCTAGGCTTTCCAAGGCATAAATATTTATCGATTGCCACATCTTTCTCCTTGGGAACACTTGGTGAGTTTGAACCACTAAACTTTTTAGTTAGCAGCTGAGCATTTTAACCATGGTGCCGCCAGCACTCCTTGAATGACTCTGAATAAGTGGAATATAAGCACACACCCACTACAAACCAAAATCAACCTAACAGGCAAAACCCAAAGACATAAGCCTTGGAGACAAGATTAAACATAAACACAATTAATCACTTTGGCAGAATCAGCATATGCCGTTTCCACAGTGCATGACGCTGACGAATCAACTGGTCTGAAAGTTAAGGATGAAAGTTACAATGTGTGTAACCTGCTCATACATTCCCATCACTCCTTTTGCTGCTTCCTTGCCTCAAACATATCCCTAGATACAAAGGCATTATCATATATATCTTTTGTGAAGAGGTTGTGCACTCCAAACATTTGTCAATCTAGTAAATGTTCAAGATCTATGTACGTGTCACTGTATCAGCTACAAGCTATGGCGACTGCTCTTGTTACATGGAATATATTGAAATCAGGGAGCATGAAATCCCTTTTGCCTTCATTCTTAGTAATAAGTGCTTCACTTATCTAAGATTTCTTTCCTTTACATATATAATTAGTAATTGATTACTCCATAATCTTAAAGAATGTTGATGGAACCTGGATTGAGATAGAATTGTATCCATATAATCTCACCATTTTAGGTGGTATTGACATGAACTCAATTTTAAGTCTTTTTATTCAAAATCATGGTATGTTCTTTCACTTATGTATCTTTGAATTTCTTATGATAGTGTTTCCTAATTTTCTTTGCATAAGTCTTTTGTATCTCTGTTATGTTTATTCCACAGTATTTTATCTTTTTGGTTGCTGTGATAAATGGAATTGCTTTTCTGATTTTCTTTGCAGAGCTCTCTTTGAGTAGAGGAATTGGACTGATTTTTATATGATGGTTTTGTATCTTGCCACTTCGCTGACCTGTCAGTGAGTTCCAGCAATTTTCTTAATGTGTTGGTGAGACTTTCTATGTGGAATAACATCAATTGACGCAGAAAAGGCATTTGATAAAATGCAAAATCTATTCTTGGTAAAAAACTCTCAGCAAAATAGGAATATAAAAGAAAACTTTGCCCCATAATTAAAGGCATATTGGCAAAACCAACAAGAAGCATCATTCTCCATAAAGAGAAATGTAAACTGTTGCCTTTGCAAACAGGAACTGGACAGGGCTGTCCCCCACCAGCACTCCTCTTCAGCATTGTACTAGAAGTCTTAGAGTAATAAGACAAAAGAGAAATAGAAGGATCTAAGGTGACCCAACACAATGCAGAAATTAGCAAATAATATCATTAATATCACATGCAAACAAGATCCTGCTGAAAATTATCAAAAAATGACTGGAACAGCACATTAACAGAGAAGTGCAAGAAGTTCAGGCTGGGTTTAGAAGAGGCCATGGTACTAGGGATATTATAGCTAATATTAGATGAATCTTTGCTGAAAGCAGAGAGTACCAGAGGGATGCCTATTTGTGTGTCATTGACTATGCAAAGGCATTTGACTGTGTGGATCTCAGTAAACTATGGCTAACTCTAAGAAGAATGGGAATCCCAGAACACTTGATTGTGCTTATGTGAAATATATTGGAACAGGAGGCAGTCATCAGAACAGAGCAAGGAAACACTGCATGGTTCAAAATTGGAAAGGGTATATGCCAGGGATGTGTCCTATATCCATACTTTTTCAATCTATATGCAGAATAGATCATCTGGGAGGCTGGGCTCTATGAGAAGTGTGGCATCAGGTTTGGTGGAAGATTCATCAACAATCTGCATTATGCAGATTACATAACTTTGCATTCTGAAACTGAGGACTACTTGAAGCACTTGCTGCAAAAGGTCAAAGACTGCAGCTTTCAATATGGATTGAAGCTCAACATCAAGAAAACAAAGATTCTCACCACTGGTCCGATTGGCAGTATCATGATAGACAGCGAAGAGATTGAGTTTGTTAACCACTTTAGTTTGCTTGGCTCCACAATCAACACTCTTGGTACCAGAAGCCGGGAAATGAAAAGACGAATTGCATTGGAAAAGTGTGGGACATTTCCAGGATACTACAGAGCAACAATGTCAATCTGGAGACTAAGGTGCACTTGATACAGGCCATGGTCTTTGCAATTACTTGTTATGTATCAGAGAGCTGGACAATGACTAGGGATGTTAGAAAGAGAATCAATGCCTTTGAGCTGTGGTGCTGGAGAAGAGTATTGAATATTGAACCATGGACTTCTAAGAGAATGAGCAGGTTTTACCTAGAGAGGATGAAACCAAGCTGCTCCTTGGAGGCAAAGATTCTGAAGCTCCATCTGACATACTCTGGGCATCTTGTAAGGAGGGACCAGTTCTCAGAGAGGGACATTATTCTTGGGAGAATGGAGGGACAGTGCAAGAGAGGAAGACTCTCGATGAGATGGATTGACTCAGTGACTAGGGTATGGGGGTAGTAGATGTGTCAGAGACAATAAGCTTGGCTCAGGGTAGAGCCGGTTTCAGAGCTGTTATATATAGGGTCACTATGAGTCACAGGCAACTTGATGGCACATAACAACAGCAAACAACAGTTTGGTGAGGTAATGAGTCCATAGCGACAGATATCCTGCTGGCTAACGTAGAAAGGGTTGGAGAAAGAGAGGAAGAGTCTCCACGGGATGGATTGATGCAGTGACTATCACTATGGGCTTGAGCAGGACCAATGATGACGTTGGAGCAGGACAGGGATCTGGGTTCAGGTCTGTTGTTCACAGAGTTTCTATGAGTCGGAGTTGACTTGACAGTACTTAACAACAACAACAACAACAACAAAAACAAACTGGTAAGGAAGGACTAAAATTCTCCCTACTTGAAAATTTTTAGTTGTGTCTTTACCTAGCTTTGGTAACAGCTATGTTTGTTTCCTAAAACTTCAGCAGCAGCCCTTCCTTTTCTATGTTCTAGGGTGGTTTGAGGAGAATTGGTGCCAGCTCTTCTATGCGTGTTTAGTAAAATTAGCTAATGAACCCATCTCTTGCATGACTTTTTTTTGGGGGGGTATTGTTTTATTATGGGTCTGTTCAAATTTCTGCATCATTTTGTGTTAGTTTAGGGTCTAACATATTTATAGAAATGTATAGTTTTCTAACATGTTTTCAAATTTGTTGGCGTGTATTTTCTCATGTGGTGTTGTCGTGTACTGTTGGGCCAGAACTGACCTGTAACTGACCTGCTGGTGGGTTTTCAGAGGCAGTTAATCACATGGGAGGAGACTGTCTATATTTCTCCCATGGAGCAGCTGGTGGACTTGAACTGCATGCCTTTGGCATTGCAGTGCAGCTTCTTACCATGAGGCCACCAAAATCCTAGCATTCTACTATTACTATTTTGATTGGTTCTCTTGTGACATCACCCTTTTCATTTCTTATTCATATGTTATTTGTACCTTTTCTTTCTTTATTAAATTATCCAGTGGTCTCTCAATGTTGTTTATGAAAAATAGCTAAATATTTAAGGGCCTTTTGTAAGAGCAAGATCATGACGGAATTACTTGAAAGAAAATGAAATCATTTGCGGAACATATTTATTTCCCTTTGCATATGTTTGTTTCCCAAATACTGACTGTTGACAGACAAGAATTCTAATGATGTTACCTTGAAATTTAGGTCAATGTAGTCCTCAGTAATTTCTGGAAAATCAATAAGGGAATAATCCAGTACAGTATGGTTGTTAATCTTGGTTAGAACTAAACAACAAAGAGAAAAGGAAAGTCTATTCAATAAAAGCATAGTATAATATATAAGTAATGTTTATCCACAGTAATAAATTTTTTAATTTTTTTTAATTTCAATGAACATCTACAGAGATTTTGGAATTTCATTCATTCATTGTTGCAAGTAATAAAATTTTTAATCATTCATTTAAAAGAACAATTTCTTCTTTCCATAAGGGAACTCTGGTGGCTTAGTGGTAAGGAGTTGGTCTACCATCCTAAAGACACATGGTTTGAATCCATTTTGCAGAAGGAAGATAGACAATATCCTCTTGTGCAATTGATAGCCTCTGAAAACCCCTAGAGGGTGAGCTATGAGTAATTTATGACTCAATGGTACACAACAACAACAACCATCTTTTCATAAGTAAAACATATATATGTACTTTCAGAAACACAGGAAAACTTTTTCCAACAGAGTGAAAAGAAAACCTATAGTCTGGGAACAAATATTTGGTGATACCATCTCAGACAAGAGTCTTAAAACAAAAGTTTACAGAATACTCCTGGGCCTGCACAAGAAAAAGACTGATAACCCAATTACAAATGGGCAAAAGTCATGGAAAGAATTTTCACAGAGGAAGATATTTGAATGGCAAACAGACACATGAAGAAATGTTCAAAATTACTGGCAATAAAGAGAGGTACCATCTCACTCCAGTAACAGTGGCAAAGTTTAACAGGGCAGCAAGTAATAAATGCTGGAGAGGATGTGGCGAGAATGGAACTCTTATACATTGTTGGTGGGACTGTAAAATGGTACAACCATTCTGGAAGGCTTCCTCAAAAAGTTGAACATAGAAATTCCCTATGACCCAGATATTCTGCTATTTGGAATATACCCTAAGAAAATGAGAACTGAGACACAAATGGAAGTTTGTACACCAATGTTCATAGCAGCATTATTCACCATCACAATAACATGGAAACAGCCAAAATGTTCAACCCCAAAGGAATGGCTTGGGAAATTATGGTACATTCACACAATGGAATACTATGCAGCACACAGGAGCAATGATTTTGTAAATTATTACCTAATTTGGGAGGGACTGGAGAGCATTATGCTGAGTGAACTTAGTCCCACAAGGATAAATATTGTATAAAACCATTATTTCAGCATGAGTATAAGGATCCAAAAGGGAAGGGAGAGGGTGGAAGCAGAGTGATGAGGATGGGTAGGGGAAGAGAGGATTAATAATTGGGTTGTACAATTTGATGGGAGCAGGGTAAGGTAAATTGAAAGAATTTGTTCTTAAAAATAATATGTCAGAATTTTGTAAATAAACTAGTAGAAAATGAAAAAAAAAACACAGGAAAAAAGACGTTAAAAGATGAGAGAAATAATTTTCACAATCGTATCAGGAAAATTTTGAAGCATATCCTGAGAAACATCAGTAAAACTTTGAACTCTATCCTCGTAGACAAGGGTGCATATGCATATACATGTGCTTGTATATACAACATATAACATTCTTTTTAAAAATTATCATAAAGTTTATTACTAATACTCACTAATCTTTATATATTGGATTGGTATAATAAGAGACTGTTAAAAGCTATGTTATAGATGCAAATTGAATGATTCTTAAAAAAATAAATGTGCATTACTACTGTAATTAGTGATTTAAAAAATATTATTCTTTTAAAATTGTTGCACATTTTCTCACCCATCTTCCCAGTCTACTCACAATGCACTCCTTGTTCCAGACTGTTGTCATATGTATAATACCTAATCGTATATCCCTTTTGGTCAGTTCTCCTCATCGGTTCTAATGGAGTGTTCATTATCTATCCACTCTTTCCTCATTCTCTCTCAAATCCCCCTGATCTGTCCTATTTTATAACAGTGGTGCTATACAGCTAGTGAATTTTTGTGACTTAAGTATTTCAGTCAGTATAATATCCTCCAGGATCCCCCATGTTGTGTAATGTTTTATGTGTTTATTATTTTTAAATGCTGCCCAATATTCCATTGTAGCCACTACAGTTTTACTATCCATTTGTTTGTTGATCAGACACTTGGTTTGTGTCTATCTCTTTGCTTTTGTGAATAACACAGCAAAAAACATGGATGTGCATACATCTTTTAGTGTCACAACTCTGGTTTCTTTAGGGTATATTCCAGTAGTGGATTTGCTGGGTCAAATGGTATTTCTATTTCCAATTTTTTTGAGAAAGCACCAGACTGCTTTTCATAGTGACTGTACCATATTACATTCCCAACAGCAATGAATAAGAGTTCTAATCTCTCTCCAACCTCATCAGCATTTGTTGTTTGCTGCCCTGTTGAATTTTGCTATTTCTGCCGGGGTGGGATGATATCTCATAGTTGTTTTGATTTGCATTTCTCTGATAGCCAGGGATTTTGAACATTTCTTCGTATGTTTGTTTGTCTTCTGACTGCCTTCTTTGGTGAAGTGTCTATTCATATCCTGTATCTATTTTGCGATTGGGTTGTTTACCTATTTATTATTCAGGTGAATTAATGATATTTTAAAAGAAGATACTGTGTGTTTGTGTATGAAAGAGAGACATAAGAGGAGAGAGACTATAACCTGCTGAATTGGAGAGGCTGAGAAGATTTCCATTTATAACACTACTAATTTAAGAATAATTAAAAAAATATCATTTGTAGAAAAGAGCTGATGGAGACTAGCGAGTAGAGGGTATAATACTACTTCACATCATAATATGGAGAAAAATGTGGCATGAAGATTGGAGAGAAACGCTCCAGCAAGCTACAGTAAGTCGATGGCATAACCCTGCTGGCTGAAAGTGAAAAGGACTTGAAGCAAATACTGAAGACCTCAGTACAGATAATATTTCAACACAAAGCAAATAAAAATTCTGACATCTGAACTAATAAGCAACATCATAATAAATAGAGAGGGAAAAAAAATGAAGATATCAATGAGTTAGTTTTACTTAGATCCACAAGTAACATGTATGGAGCAGCAGGCAAGAAGCACAATGTGTTGTTGTATTGGACAAATCTGCTGTCAAGGTCCTCTAAATTATTAAAGAGCCAGGATGCTACTTTAAAGATAAAGGTGGGCCTGACCAAAGCCACGGTATTCTCCATTGCTTCATATGCAAGTGACAGTGAGGCAATGAATAAAGAAGGCTGAAGAGGAATTGATGCATTTGAATTGGGGTGTTGGTGACAAATATTGGATATGTCATGGCTTGTCAAAACAACAAGCAAATCTGTCTCAGAGGACATGGAGCCAGAGTGCTTCTAAGAGTCTAGAATGGTGAGACATCATTTCATATACTTTGGTCATGTTACCAGGAGGGCCTGGTTCCTAGAAAAGGACATTATCTTTGCAAAAGTAGAGGATCAGTGAAAGAGAGAAAGACCTTCATTGAGATGGTTTCCTTGAAAGATGCAGTGACTGCTTAATGGGAAGAGATTCTGAAGATGATAAAACGTTGGGCAGGGTTTTGTTCTATTATACATAGGGATTCTATGACTCAGCGCTCACTCTATGACATCTAACAACAAGAACACACCACTATAAAATTAAAAACATGCTCTCCAAGGGAGCTCTGGTGGCATAGTGGCAAGAAGCTGCACTGCAATTCTAGAGGTGTACGGTTCAAATCTACCAGATGCTCAGCTGGAAAATGAGGGACAATCTCCTCTTGTAACAGTCAGATCCAATTTGATGGTTCGTACACAAAAAAATAATAAAATAAAAATTTTTAAAAATTAAAAAAATGCTTTCCAATCTTAATCCCAATGGGCTCCCATCATCACTTTACGAGCAAAGAACAGTGAGCCATTTCACAGGTGAGAAGACTGCGGCTCCCAGAGGTAAAGAAACTTGCCCAAGCCAAACTACTGCTGTTAAGTGTTGCTGCATTAAGTTTCACTCACAGCTACCCCATGTGACAGAGTAAAATTGCGCCAGACTGCTTTCTAGATTGTAATCATTGTAGTAGAAGGCCGTTGTCCTACAGGACTGAGACTCTGTGTGAGTTCTCTGTGCTAACTTTCTGGTTAGCAGGGAAAAGCTTGCTTAAACACTTGTGCCTTTAGTGCTCCTCTAAAAAAAAAAAAAAAGACCACAGATAGCCTCAATTAGATCTTTCCTCCCTACATCTTTCTCTCTCTCTCCCTTTCTCATTCACTCACTTGCATCCATATTAATCTCTCCAGCCACTTGTCTCCTTCCTTTCGTCAGTCCAACATTTATTGAACCTAGTAACTCCCAGTGGGAGAAAGATGGGCATTCTCCTCGCATGTGGAGCCCCTGAAAATCCACAAGGGTCAGCTATGTGTTGGTTTTGTTTCAATCACAATGAGAGAGAGAGAGAAGGTGTAAACAACTTGTGCTTAACTGCTAATACAAAGATTAATGATGCTATCACATCCAACAATAAAGCAGAAGAAAAGGACTGTTCATCCACTGTTTCAATTAAAATTGTACTGGACTGGGGTGGGGGAATTGTATAGCAATGAAAGAATTTTTAAAAGTTGGTGTTTTTTTTTTACTTGTCAAAGAGAAAAGCGAACTGGGGGGAAGGGGTGGGCAGTTGGCAGGGAGGAAAGTGTGCAACAGTGAATGAATGAAAATCCAAAATAAAATAAAATAAAATTCAGAGGCTAAAAAAAAATACTCAAGAAAATGCTATAAAGCAGTTCTGTCCTGTCCCACAGGGTATCCATGAATTGGAATGGACTCAGTGGACATTAACAACAGCAACAACAGACTAGGCGCTATGCCTGGGTCTTAGGCCACAAAAATACTAGATAATAAAATCACAGTTTATAATATAGTGTCATAAGTGCAGATTTAGAACTCAGCTCTTGACAATTCTAATAGTCTTCTCCATCTTAGTGAACAGAAATTGCATTCTTTGCGCTTGTAACTTTATCATTGGAACGTCATCGCTGCTTGGGTTAAAGACCTGGAGTCATCGCGGATTCCTCTCATGATCTGCATTCGGTCTGTCAACAAATACTCTCTCTCTTCAAAATAAGTCCAGAATCTGAACATTTCTTACCCTCTTGACTGCTCTCACCTATACCCAATGCTACCACTACTCACTTGTGTTATTGTTTCTCAATCGTCTCATAAGTGGACTCCCTGCATCCACCTTTGCCTCCTTCTTCTTGTTGTCTATTCTTTCTCTCTTTCTCATTGTCAAGTCATAACCAACTCATAGCTGACCCTCCACTGGGTTTTGGAGTTTGGAAACAATTTAAAAAAAGAATAATTTCCAGAGGAGATTTGACCAGTCAGAGAGGAACAATCTTTGGCTTAGTAGTTTGACTCCCTGTGAACTAGTCACCGGAGGTCCCTTCTCTCTTAGCAACACAAAAGTTAGAGTCGTCTTGTTCAGACGGAAGCCAGACCATGCCAGCTCTTGCTCAAAGCTTGTCAAAGGCTACCCATCTCACTGCAACTAGGAGCTAGTCTTCAAAATTACCATGAAGAGTGAATCCTTTGCTCTTCTCAACAAAACCCTCACAATCTAACTGTGGCCTTCACTCATCCCGTCCAACATGACCTCCAACTACTTTTCCCTTCCATCCCTCTACTTCCAGTCTTGAATTCTTCCAAGTGCTCACAGCACATGCTCCAGGGTCTGTGCACTGGGGTTCCTCTGCCAGGAATGTTCTTCATTCATATCTAGGGGAGGCTCCCTCCCTCCCTCCCTTCTTCAGGTCTCCCTCTAACACCATCTACTCAATGGTGCCTTTCCTGGTCACATGACTGAAAATGAATTCCTCTCTTTAGTTCCTTCTCTACAGGTTTTCCTCTCCGGTTTTACTTATGTCTCTTTCTTGTTAATTATTTCTTCCCACAAGTGTGGTGAGTGCAGAGATTTTTGCCTCCAAGGTTCACTGCTGCATCATCAGACCCCAAACTGAGCTCCATCCATTCTAAGTGCCAATATATTCTTGGTGAATGCTCTGAGGAAGGGCAAAGACAGGGTGCTCCCAAAGTCTCACGCAAACTACAGTCAAGGTGTGACATTCTGGGGTGCAGACTTTTAGGTAAGAGTTCTTAGAAGAGATTATGGCTGGATTGGGGCTTATAAAATGAAAAGAACAAGAGATAGGGAAGGGGTAGACAGTGGAAGGACAGGACTTATCAGTGACACCGACATAGGCACTCAATAAATACCTGTGAGATGAATGAGTGGAAGTGAGAGAAAGCTCTTTCAGGCAGAGAGGAAAGACAGGAGGTGTAGGGCTCAAGGATCACAAACAATGTGATCGTTGGAAAAGTACAAGAAAAACCAAGAAAGACCCAGGTCACAGTGGTTCGGTAGTCCATGTTAAAGCCTTCAAACTGAATCATGAAGACAGCAGGGTATCACATCAGGGAAGAACCTGGTCAGACTGGCATTAGTTACTCCGAAGACCACAGATTTTATGTCCAAGCTCATGAAGGTTTAATACCCTGACTGGCATATAGTCCTCAGGAGCCACTTCTTCCTGCAGTGGATGTGAAGTTGAACTTGAAGTTGATTCACAGCAAAAGAGAATATGCTCCTTGCTCTCAGAACATGTCCTCCCAGACACCTCCCCATGGCTCTAGTTTGCAGAGACTAACGCATAATAAAGAAATAAAGCGGTCCTGCATTGAGGAGGAAGTAACTTTATTTTAAATTTATGGACTCCCTTCCCCCCTTTTTATGGTCTTCTACTTGCATTGGTTAAAAGCAGCTAACCAATTGTTCTTTAGAATATACCCTCTAGCCAAGTCTATCTTTATTTAGAGGCTGTAGATGGACACGCTTGATTGTTTGAACCAAAATGGGAACATTAAACAAACATTACAGCTCTCACTAATAACACTGTGACTTTGCTGTCAAGCATAAAATTCTCCCTTCAAGAAAAAGCTTGTGACCATTTTGTATGGCTTGTCTGGACACTTCTGTAAATCTTATGTTTTAGTAAAACAATTTTTGTTATTCTAAAAAAAAAACCACAAAAACAAACCTGCTGGAGAAGAGTATTGAATGTACCATGGACTGCCAAGAAAACAAACAGATTCATCCTAGAGAGGGTTAAACCAGGCTGCTTCTTGGAGGCAAGGATTCTGGGGCTTCGTCTGACATACTTTGGACATGTTGTAAGGAGAGACAGGTCTTTGGAGAGGGACATTATGCTAGGTAGAGTAGAGGGACAGCGCAGGAGGGGAAGACCCTCTATGAGGTGGATTGATTCAGTGACTGGGGTAATTGGGATGGGTGTGTCAGAGGCAATGAGATTGGCACAGGATAGAGCAGGGTTTAGGGCTGTTGTACATAGGGTTGCTATGAGTCGCAAACGACTCGACGGCACATAACAACAACAACAACAACAACAAAGCAAACCTGGAGATGGGATGCAAAGAGAAACATACAGAAGAGACAATTGCAAGACTCACCCTCCAGCGCGCTGAGATTAGCATTTAGCTCTTCAACCTCATTGATGACCATAGGGCAGAGCTGGCCGTAAAGAGAAAGGATGGGAAAAAAATATGCAAGTTACCATATTGTACTGTTGTTATGTATTGACTCGTAGCTAACCCCTTCCAAGTGGGTTTTCAGAGGCAAAAAATCACACGAGAAGAGATTGTCCACCTGTCTCCCACAGAACACCTGGTAGATTTGAACTGTGTGCCTTTGGCAACACAGCTCCTTACCTTGAGGCCACCAGAGTTCTCTCCTATCGTATGAGATGTATCTACTTATAGCCCTGGGTCTTGCAAACAGAAACCATCTTGGTAGGAGATGGTTTCCTTTTGGTCAATAAAGGGGTTTTTTTTAATGAATTGATGCCTGTGGATCTTGTTACGTCTGGATGAGTGAGGTGTCATAGGATGCTGGCTAATCGCCACATAACAGCCAGGATCACACCCAGTTAGTCCACAGAAGAGCGAGCCCTTGGCTTTCCTCTCTGAGGCATGGGAGGACATGTGCTACTGTCGTCACACCTGAGGAACGGCTGCCCAGAGACTGCTCCTGTCCCCACTGCTGGGGATGCTGCCCACCTGCCTGCACTTGAGAGCAGGGGCCTCTTTCCTTCCTCCCTGGGCTAGCGCGAGAGCTTGAGATCAGAAGGTAAGAACCGTCATTGAAGCTTCCCCACTTTGGGATCAGAGAAGCAGCCTTGAAGGATTATAGAGTATCTTTGTGATCATGATCATTGTGGAGTCTGCCCTGACTCATAGCTGAGCCTCCAGTGGGTTTTCAGAGGCTGTAAATCACAGCGAGGAGCTTGCCTGTCTTTCTCCTGAGGAGCAGATGGTGGATTTGAACCAAAGGCCTTTGAGTTTGCAGCACAACTCCTTACCCAGTAGGCCACCAGAGCTTCCCTCAACAATATCTTTAGACAGATAAATAAAAAGTTTTGGGGGTGGGGATTGTTGCAAGCAGTTTGTAATTGGATAGTAACCTAAAGGTTGGTAGTTTGAATCCACCAGTGGAAGAAAAAGTACTGGTAATATGTTTGTGGAAGGATTATAGTTGAGAAAAATTTACACAACAGCTCTACTTTGTAACACAAAGGATTACCATGAGTATGACTTGATGGCAGCCAGTAACGAGAACAGAAGGGGCTAACAAACTTAGGTGTCTGGTGATAAAACAAAGATTGGAAGTTCAAGTCTACCTGTAGGCACTTCAGAAAAAAGGTCCAGAAATGGGCATAAATTAATAAATTTGCATAAATTAATAAATCTGCATAAATCCAGCCACTGACCACTCTATAGAGTAGAGTGGCCACTGTCTCAGAGGGTGAAGACTGCACTGTTGATAGATACCTGCTAGGAGCCAGCACAGTGGTTAAGGCCACAAACTGGCTGCCTAGAGTTGAATTCCTTGGTAAGTTACTTGGACCCTCAAGTCCTCAGTTTCCTCATTCTGATTGTCTGATCAGATTGTTCAGAGCAGAAATGGAGGTCATGCAAAATTGTCCCACTCCTAGGAAGCCTTCAGCCGATACTAGCTGTTATTGTTCTAACCTCATTTCATCCTCATTGCAACCTGGACAGGCAGGTCCCACTGTCTCCTTAGAGATGGGAAACAGAAACTTAGATTAGACAGCAGCACAGAGGTACAGAGTTAGAATGTGAAATCTGATCTGGCTCTCTGCACACTTTTGGTCTGAGCTTTCTTATCTAGTTTGCAGTGCTGCAGAGAGACTTCGAAAAGCCAGGCGTCTACTCTTCCTCAACCGTAAAATTTAGGCTGTAGGAAAACTCTCAGCTGTATTGTGTGCTGTTGATTTCGTTCTGACTCCTAGCAATCCCACGAGACAGAGCAGAACGTCCCCTCACGTGAGCAGGTCCATCTTCTGCGGAGCCACCAGGTGAGTTTGAACTGACACCCTTTCAGTTAGCAGCCAAGTGACTCTGACATAACATATTCTGCGCTTGGCTTCCTTTCTGGGGCCTGCTCTTAAACTGATGAATGCTCAAGCATGGGTTCCTAGCACATTCTTTTAGATTATCAACAATTAATATGCATGTTCCCTGGTCTTCAGCACCTGGCAGGTAAGGGAGGAAGACCAAGCCTACCACACCTACTGCTGCCAAGTTGATGCCCGTTCATAGTGACTGAAAAGAACTGTCCCCACAGGTCGGCCCAGGCTGTCAGTCTTTGCGGGAGCGGACTGCCTCATCTTTCTCCAGGAGCAGCTGCTGGATTTGAACTACTGACCTTTCAGTTAGCAGACGAGGGCTTTAAACCTCTACGCCACCAGGGTTCTTTGAAGAAAGGCCATGACTGGAAGCACAAGTTTTAGAGCTCTCTAGACAGTCGTGTCATTTCTTAGACGTTTGGTGTCTCTGAGAACTGATTTCTTGGTGGCTTTCATTAAACGTCTCCTCTCTGCCAAGGACTGAGCTGAGAATGCAGGGGAAGAGACAGCCAGTCCTTGTCCTCAAGAAACCCCAATTCCCCCTAATCTCCAGGCACCCTCATCCCTATCCTTGTCTCCTCTAGAATACAGAGAAAGGCTCAGGGTAGATAAGGGGCAGCTATGGAAAGAAGGCACACAGCTAATTCTACCTTTACCTTGATTTACAGAATTAGGCATTTGAAGGTATCTTACCTTGTTTCTGTTTTCTGGAAATATCCTTTCCACTCCTTACCTACCCAAACTCTAATCAGGATTCAAGGCTCAGCTCAAAATCTACCTTCTACAAAAAAATATCTATCATACCTCTAAGTCCCATTTCTTTCTTTTTAAAAAAATTGTGCAAATAACACCACATTTGCCATTTCAACATTCTTCAAGTCTACAATTCATGGAGCTCAATTACATCTGTCACAGTAGGCAACTATCTATCACCAGTGTTCTTTGCTAAAATGTATATCCTCATAAACAAGAACTCTATGCCTTCTAAACAGTCATATTTCTCCTTCCTCTCCCTCCCTAGCCCGTGGTAAACACTATTAATTCCCCCTCCCAATTCCTCTGTTCAACTAATGATCATGCCAGCTAGTACTGAATTGAAGTGCTCATTCATTCATTGTTTGACTAAACTGAGTTTGGTTTTTCCCCCTGAGTAGATGATAAGTCCTCTCTTCTTTTTATCCCCCCGCCCCCCCCCCCCCCCCATAGGCCTTTCTCAGTGCTGGACATACAGGAGGCAAAACAATAGATACAGGCTTATTGATTGCTTACTCGGTACAGAGTGAGCAATTTGTTGTTACATGCATCTCTGTGTACCTGCACCTGTGGCAGTATTTACACACAATAGGCACTTGAGAGACTGCTATTAAGTTGCAAAGGAAATACGCCCATGTGAGTGCAAATGTCTAGTATGGTGCCTGGAAGGCAGCAGGCACTCAATAAAGATTTATTGACTAAGAGTTGATTACAAGACAGCCGCACTTCTGCTGATGGCATTTGACCCTGGTTATCTAGCTACTAACGACTTACCATTTCATTTAAGTTCCTTAAAATGGGTTTCTCCATGGGCTCAGCAAAGGAGTTATACAGGACACTGGGGTGGGGGAGAGGAAAAAAGGAAAAGAAATAAAGGCCCTTAATCAAGGATCAGAATCTCCTGGTTCTAAAGCTCCCTTGAGGGAATGCCTGAGAATCCAGCCCCAGCCCAGGCACGGCCTACCACAGTTTACCCACTCACCTGAGTTCTCCAGAAAAGGACACGTGGGCGTGGCTCACTTGAGCGCGGCAGTCCTGGAGCATCAGTGTTGGGTGACCAAAGTTGTTTCGGGACAGAATGAGGACACCGGTGAAGAAGGCCCCAGAGAGAAACAGGTCAGCTCCTCCTGTATCTTGGCTGTTAAGAGAAACAGTGGCAGGTTACCCCAACCTGGGCTGGGGGGAGAGTTGAATCGTGGATCTTTGATGACCCTCAGAAGCTAAGCTCCTTGAGGGCAGGGACTCAGTCATGGCAACTTCTGGGTTCCCAGCATCCAGAGCAGAGTGTGGCTGAGAGTTGGTGCTGAATGAATGTTTACCAGGAATTAGAACAACTCAAGGGACCCTGTGGCTGTACCATCATGAGTGCTCTGGTTCTGATGGTGATTGACCACATATGTGCTATGTCCACACACACACACACACACACACACACACACACACACACACACCCGTATTAGACTTGACGGCACCTTATAACAACAATGGCATATATACGTTGTTTGGAGAAATAACAATGGAAGCAAAATTGACACCACCTTATTCAAGAAGGACTTGGGTCATGAATGGGTAAAGTATCACTTAGATACAGTCCATGTGCTCCTTGAAGGGATTGACTGTATGCTATACTATTCATCCTCATGCCCCTGACACTCAGTGCCTGACCTAACACAGAGAAAGTGCTCAATATATAGTTGATGACTCAGTGACTAAGAAGCAAAGACATTGACTCTCATATGATGTTTATGGAGGAAAAGGAATCGCTAGCTGGTACCAATAGGTAAGTTCAACTAAGTTCAATAGGTTCAACTAAGCTGAGTGATCAATGGTTCTAATCCACCCAGAGGTACCTGAGGAGATAGGTCTGTCTGCATGAAGTTCTGCTTCAGAAAGGTCACAGCTTTGAAATCTCTATGGAGCAATTCTACTTTGTGCAAGTGGGGCTCACCATGAGTTGAAACAGACTCAACAAAAACAGTATAAATGCAAAGTGTGTTGAAGACCCTTTGGTGATTCATTGTTGCATCTAAAATGCTGAGGCAAATTTCCACTCGAATAAAATGTATTTTAAAAAAAGTAAAGGAACTTTTAAAACAAAGTTAAGGTATCTGTTGGTTACTCTGACAGAGCGTGATCTGGAGCTTTCTGAAAATCTGAAATGATATTTTGATCAATTACTGTGCCTTTGAGTTCTGATGGCCTTGTGGGTAAAGTACTGTGCTTCCAGCCTAAAGACAAGCAGTTCAAATCCATCCACCGCTGCTTGGGAGAAAGATGAGCTATCTCTCCCCATGCAATTTATAGCTTCTAAAAACCAACCAGAGGCTCAGTTATGAGTTGGTTTCAACTCAACAGCAATGGGCAATAACAACATTCAACCTTTAAAAGAAACATATTTTCAGAGCCACTAGAGTGATGATTCCAAAAAATTTTAAGGGCAGAGTGAATCTGTGGATCACCATGGCTGTAATCTTTACAGAGACAGACTGCCACGTCTTTCTACCGTGGAGTGACTGATGGACCCAAAGCATTAGCATTTTGCTTAAGAGCTGAGTATTTAACCACTACAACACCAGGGATCTTTAGAACGACAACACTTCTACTTAAAACTTTCTTCGGGAAAATGCTCTTGAGAAGAATTGTCAATGACTGAGTGGAAGATGCCAAACAACCAGAACAATGCTGAGCCCACAGCTGCTCCGAGGAAGAAGGGTGAGCAATCTCTTCCAGTGTGATTATAGCCTCTGAAAACCAGCTATAAGGGCCAGCTGTGAATTGGCTGTGACTTGATGGCAACTTCCCAGTAGAAGCGGTGACGGAGGTGTACTCACAAAAGCGGAGACCTGACGTCCCAGTCCGTGCTGATGTTGGCAGTTCCGTGATTAGTGAACACTTTGATCCCCACTCCTGGCACAAAGGATAGTGAGGTATTTGGGAAGGAAAAGGCCTTGATTTTTATGCTGCAAAGTAAGAAGCAGAGGAGTTAGTGCAGCCTCTCTCACTCAGCTCTAAAAGTTTTCAAAAATTAGCTAATGAAAATCTTATGAACCACAACAGAACATTGGTTGACTTGCTTGCTTCGGACATGTCATTGAGAGAGACAAATTATGGGAACTGGACACCATATTGGCTGAAGTAGAGGGCAGACAAGTGGAGGGAGACCCTGGGTGAGATGGATTAGCACAATGGCCACAAAATGAGGGACTTGAAGATGTTTTGTTCTTTTTTATACAAGGTAGCCAAGGTCAGAATTGGCCAGATGGTACCTGTCTACCTCCCTTCAATCCCTCCCTTCCTTCCTTCTACAGAGGAAAAGATATCATGTGTGCAGTGCTGAATCTGTTCAATGCCTTGTAATTCCTTGGCAGAAAACCCTTTGTACCAAATTGAGGGGAGAAATGAACACATGTAGAAGTAAATTTGCAAATAATAAAAGAATATTTACAGCTTCTTTAAAGATGAAAAGGTATATCATTGACACCATTATTTTTTCCTTTTGTGGATTCAGAGTTTCTGAGTGGGGGAGGTATATATGTCAGTATTTTGGATGGTAGAAGATCGACATGGCTATTGCAGGACATTTGGCATACATGCCTAGTAATGTCAGCATTGCTATTCCTTTCCAGTTATTGAGGGGACCAGGAATGTGGCCTTCTTTTGTTTTCAAATGACCTCTATGTGGATAGTATCTTTCCCTGGTGGAGAATCTTATTTTAGAGACCTCTCTTTCTCTAGGACTCTCTAGATCAGCAACAGGCAACCAGGAGGACATGAGTTGCATTTAACACCAAAGACAGCCAGCCACAAGATTTATGCTAATTTATGAATATAGACCTCTATTGGGTGATTACAACCGGTCAGTTCACTTTAACTTGTACAACAAGCCGTTGAAATAGTCACTGTTTTTGCAATCCCTAGTTCAGAGATGAGAAGATAAGGAACTTGGCTGAGGTCACAATACGCAGACCTGGAACCCTTCTGAATTGTCTCCGGACTGTGCTTTTAACCACTAGGCTATGTCACTTCACGCAATGTGTTCTTGACCTGGAGCCAAGATTTATATTAGCTGTGCAGCCTTGGACATGGTACTTAACTTCTTTCAGTCAATCACTCAGAGAAAGTATTAACTCATGGGTAGGCTGAAGAGACCAAATGAGATCGTATGTATAAATGCTGAACAGGAGAAAAGCATTGTTATAAACTAAGATTAGGAGGCTTTTCAACACAAATGTGATAGCTAAAAAGAAATGATTGTTTCCCCCTTGTAACCATTTGTTCCTACCTATTTGCTGTCAGATGTCCCGAGTTCCAGTGCAGGAAAAGTCTGGCAGATACTTATGCTTTGGAAATATTTTCATTTTGATACATGGGAGACCTAACTTACTCCTTTTTTTTTTTTAACCTGACTTACTCTTAATGACTTCTGCAAAATATTCCCAGATGCGGATGTACCACTTGGGGAAAAAATTCCTTTATTGATGGGCATTTAGAGTGCTTCTGATACTTCTAAATTCTAAACAATGCTGCAGTGGACATTATCATATATGCCACGTGCATACATGTATTTAAGGGGCTCTGGTGGCCTAGTGGTAAGTAGCTGTGCTGCAATCCCAAAGGCACATGGTTTGAACTCCTTCATTTTCTCCTTGGGTGAAGGATGGGCAAGGCGATCTCATCCCATGCAATTAGCTGCCTCTGAAAACCCACTGGATGGTCAGCTACGGGTTTCAACTTGACCACACACAACAACAACCACCACCACCATGTACTTAACTAGACAGGTGCTGAAAGGTGGAATTTGGGGGTCAAATGTCGTACAAATTTACAAGAAGATACTTGTAATCACCTTCTGAAAAAGCATTGTTTAGTAGAAATATAATTTAATAATGTGAGCCATGTGTACAATTTAGAATGTTCTAGTGGTCACATAAACAGGTGAAATGAATCTTATTAATATTTTTAAATTAATCCAATGTATCCAATATATCATCTCAATGTAAAAGTCTCTAAAAATTACTAATGGGTTACATTCTATTATTTTTCTAAAATAAATCCTCAGGATATGGTATGTATTTTACACCTTGGAAATGCTTCCTTGGCATCAAGATTTTATGAAATTTGCTGTTGGAAAAGGAAATCAGCATACTCAAATTGTTCCAATCCTCCCCACCCAGCAATGGAATTGGGTATCGGTTTTAAGTAAATACTGAAATAAAATAGGAAGTACGTCCAGTTGTACCAATCACGTTTTAAATGCTCACCAGCTACAATTGTCTATTGTCTATTATTTGGGGAGCACAGATCTAAAATGACTGTGCCCATTTATTTATTCTCACCTGCAATGCCTGGGAGGACTTGTTTCTTCTTATCTATATTCTTATCTATATTCTTCTGCTATTATTACATAAATGGCATTACTCTCATTTTAATGAGTTAGTTTAGTGGTCATCTCTCCAATGGACATTCAAGCCAGGTGGCACGTCTGTGTTGCTCGCTGAGCTATCCCCTGGGCCTAGGTAAGATATCCCTGTGTCTAGGTCAGTGGGCACTCAATAATACTTATGGGATAGCTGAATGCACTAATTAGAGCACTCCCTAGGTCACTGCTTCCCCTTTAAAAGCAAATCCTTAATTTTATAGAATGTTATCCTTGATAGTTCTAATTTATTATTCTAAAAGGCTGGAGTGGCAATCGAGCAAATAGTGTGTCACTGTCACAGAGAACTCCTCATCAATGCCTGATTCCCCCCTAACCATCGAGGATGAACTCAAGATGAACAGAGATTTTATCTCCCTGACTGTCTCTGGGGCTTTGTCTATGACAGAGGCTGCCAGTTACTGTCTGGACATCCATTTCCCCTCTTCTTTGTTAAATCATCCCTCAGTTTCTTGGAGATGAAAGAGTTCTCTGGTTTAAGATCTGATAATCCAATAGAAAAATGGGCACAGGATATGAACAGGCATTTCACCGAAGACGACGTTCAGATGGCTAACAAACACATGAAGAAATGCTCAAAATCCCTAGCCCTAAGAGAGATGCAAATTAAAACAACTATGAGATATCATTTCACCCCAGTCAAAATAGCAAAATTTAACAGAACAGCAAGCAACAAATGGTCGAGGTTGTGGAGAAACTGGAACCCTGATTCACTGTTGGTGGGAGTGTAAAATGGTACAACCCCTGTGGAAAGTAGTATGGCGCTTTCTCAAAAAGTTGCAAATAGAGATACCATTTGACCCAGCAATTCCACTACTGGGAATATACCCTGAAGAGACCATAGCTGACATCCAAGCAGATATATGCACACCCATGTTTATTGCAGTTTTGTTCACAATAGCAAGGAGTTGGAAACAACCTAAGTGCCCATCAACAAAGGAATGGCTAGAGAAGCTGTGGTATAGTCGCACAATGGAATACTATGCTGCATTAAAAAACAAGGAACTCATGCAATATTATTCAAAATGGTTGACTCTGGAGAACATTATGCTGAGTGAAATATCCCAGTCACAAAAGGACAAATATTACATGATGCCACTGTTGTAGAATGGGACTGTCCTTGGGGTTGGGGAGAGACTGAGTAAGATGGGTTCAATAATGTATACTGCACTGAAACAGAGGAGGGAGAAAACTGTTTAAAAGAGATATATAACTAGGTATTTCTGTCATCACAGGAGACTAGAGCGAGGGCTACATGGTGGAGGAGACCTGGGGGAGGGTTTGTAAAACAATGCAAGAATCTTTTCTTTTACTTTTCCATAATTTTTGACTCATGTACTTATAACTTGTTAGTCAAATTTGTGTCTTCTAGGTTGCAACACCCCCATGATACATCTTCAAGGATATGAACATGTACGGCCAAGCACAATCAATAAGAGTGCATCTAAATTCCAAAATCAATCTCCATAATAGTCTATGTGTTTCCTACTGCCAAAGGGGCCCTTTAGAGTAGTGAGAGAAGATCTTCACCCTGAAACCCACAGCGTCCCTTTTCAGCAGGAAGTAGCTAAGAGAATACGCCATCCCCTTTTCCTTATGACTCAGGGTGAAGTCTCTCTCAGGGAGGAGTGATAGGGAATGGCAAAGGACACACTGACAAAGAAGATTAATCAGAACTGGCTTTGACAAGCACTGTGGCATTTGGACAAGAACAAACTGGGAGGAGGGTAGAGAGAATAGTGCAACAATGAATGAATGGAAACCCAAAATCTCTGTAAATGTTTATGAAAATTAATAAAATATAGAAAAAAATAAAAGGCAAAAAAAAAGATCTGATCTTCCAATATCTCCTGCATATAGGTCCAGCTCCGTCTGAGAAAGCTCTGCTTATTCATACATAAAACAAACAAAAAAACCCCCCCTTACCACTGTTAAGTCAATTTACACTCATAACCTGTGAGATTTCCGAGACTGTAAGTGGTTTATGGGCACAGAACTGCCCCAACTTTCTTCTGTAGAGTAGCTCATGGGTTAGAATCACTGAACTCTTGATTAACACAAAATATGATTAAGGTAAAGTTTCAGAAAAGAAAAAAAAAAGAACACCACAAGAACCAAAACCCCAACTTACTAAAGATGAGGTTTCTTCTCCTGCCTCTTCCCCTTCTAGCTGCCTGAAACAGGGATTTGATGGCTAGAACCATGGTGGCCATATGGGAACGAGGCAACCATCAGATTAGAAGGATGGTGGAGCAGAAAAAGATAAAGGGACTGGGTGCTGATGAAATCATGATGATTTCACAGGATCCTGGGGCTGTTTCCTTTGAGCTTCTTACATGGGAGAATAACACAAATCTCTGTTATCTCCAAATCACTGTCTTTTTAATTTTCTGTTATATTAACTTTATTCCCAGTTGATACAACTTCAGAACTCTGGTCTGGACGAAGCAATGTGACAATTCCATTATTCTTCTTAAATTTTTTAAATGATCTCATTCTTCAAATGACACGCTTATGTTGTCGTTAGGAATGTTGACTAACACTCATACAGTAATTGACACTTTATGATGCAGCTTCACATTTATCGTGTGCTAGCAAACTGAAATTGAGTCACTTGACATAATAAAATGACTGACATAATGCCTGAAACAAGACTCCATTTCTCCACAAGCTGCTCCTGCATTTCTGAGCTTATAAATATAAGTTCTTCCCCATACAATACATATATCTATATATACATATGGTCTTGAACTATATACACATAGTTGATTAGAATCAGAGAGCCCTGGCTTCCAATCTTTCATCTTGTTTAACTGACCTGGATCTTGCCTCAAGTGACTCTTAGTAAATAAGGTTGGGATTCAGGAACATGATTGTTGCAAAATGAGTTTGCTCAAGATGTTCCAGGAAAAATATAGTTGCAAACAGAGTTGCTGATGATATACTCATCTTGTGACTTTGGGACCATTACACCATCTCCTTCCCCATCTTCACTATAAAAGCATCCATTTCTCCCCATGCTTCATAGCACTTGGCTGATTCTCTTTGCCTGTGTTTCTCCAGTTCATGAATTGTATTGCCCTCAAGAAATCTCTTTGCTTTACTCCAGTAGAGTGAATGTTTTTAATTTTTGACAAATACCTCATTTTAGTGTGCATTTTATTTTATTACTCTAATAGATTATAATTGGTAAGATAAATTTTTTTTAGTAAGAAGACTTTATTATAGTAAGAAGATGATGGATGCTGGGTAGGTCTATCAAAACATAGGGCAGTATATCTAAGACCCTGAGATCCTAAAGAGTCATTTCACTGCTGAAAAGGCTCTCTTCTTTTACTTACTTTGAAAAGTTGTAGTTTATATAATCAATCTTCAGAAATTCAAGAGATTCAGAACCTTTTAAATCTGGGATGCTCTTTTCCATTATCATTTGCTCAACTGTTTCCATTCCAGCTTGAACACCTGTAAAGGAAACAATAAAGTTCCAAATGATAATAACAAAGATGGTAATAATCTAAAACCATTAGTGGCACAAGTACAATTTGCTGACTAAGGCATTCTCTTGGATATGTAAAAGACAGAAACTCAGAAAAGTGGCTCTGTTTTGTCATTGTTTTAAGTTGTAGTTGCGTCAACAGCAACTCTGTAAATAAACAGATCAAAACGTTGCCCTACCCTGCACCACTCTCAGCCCTTACCAAGTTCAAGCTCATTGTTGTAATCACTGTGCCAGTCTACCTTGTTGAGAATCTTTGTCATTTTTTACTGACTAGTTTTCCAAGCATGATGTTTTTTTCCAAGAATCAGTGTTTTCTGACAACATGCCCAAAGTATTTGAGATGTAGTTTCACAGTAATTGCCTCTAACTGGTTGTAAGAAAGAAATTGATCCTTAATAAGTGTAAATAACTTGCCCAAGACCATAGAGCTTATATGAGACATTTTCATTGTGTGACTAGTATGACTAGTGCTAAAATACTCACCAATGCATAATGTGATTGACAGGAAAAGTGTAAAACTTTCTTCAATGAGAAAAATTATTATAATCATCCACATTTTATGGAGAAAACTGACACTCAGATTAATTCTCCCCCAATTCACATAACTAAGAACTAAGTGACCAGTAGTCAAATCTGGACAATTTTGCTCCAGAATCTTTGTGTTACGGCCAGTTTCAGGAAGTTACTCTATTTTGTCCAGATTCTTTAAGCTCTGTAATTTTTTGCTTGAGATCCATGGGCTATGGAAAACTTCCGAGCCCTCTGAAAATCTAACGAATGGCTGAGGTAGAGGGGTGTGTGCGTGTGTGCGTGTGTGTGTGTGTGTGTGTGTGTTAATGTGCAAACACATTCATGTGTGTCTCAGTTTTTTTAAGGCAAGGCATCCATATTTTTAAAGCATCCTAGGACTACAAAAAGATTAAAAACAGCAGCTTTTGTTTAATTCTAGACTAACCTGTCACTTTTTTTAATTATAGCCCATACTTCTCTGAACTCATAGAGTCCTCTAGCAGGAAAGATCCTGGGAAAGGTAACTTATAAAGTGATAATAATTGATCTTTTGATTTTGCCCTTGACCTTTTAATAGTATTGCATTGGAATTGCCTTTATCCATTTCTTTGAATTTAAGCCCATTTCCACTTAGTTGGTCTTTGTTGGAGACGAAGAAGAGCAGGTTTCATCCTGTATAATGCCATGAATAATATGAGACTTGGGGACATAAAAACGTAGAACCATGGTACTATTGGACAGCATAATTCTGAATCTCAACATTGTCATTCACTTGCTTGTATGACTTGTTTGTGCAATTTACATTCTCATTTGTAACACGGGGCCGAGAGTGACTGGATAGATCTGCTCATGCATGTAAAATCATGCTTTACAGAAGCAGATCACTAAGTCTTCTGTGATACAGCTGGGTAAGTTAGAACAACCAACATTTAGGTTTTTGATCAGTGAAGGAGAGGAAGACCTTCAACCAGGTGGATTGACATGGTGACTGCTGTAATGGGCTTTTGTGTGTCAGGAAGTGTGAGAATGGTGCAGGACAGGACTAGGTTCAGATCTTTTGTTTATAGGGTTGCAATGAATCGTATTCAACTCGATGGCACCTAACAACCACCACCACCACCACTACCACCACCAGCACCAGCACCACCAGCACCAGCACCAGCACCACCATGAGCACCACCACCACTATTTGTAGCACTCAGGGTTTCTTCACCACAAAGCTAGAAATGAACTGACTCCACATAGAGCTTGTCTAAGTCATGAGCCATCACAAGTCATGAGCTGCTGGGTTTGAGTGGTAGACTCCACCTCTGTGGGTGACATTTTGCTTCTAATAGCATCCAACTCACCATAATCCAGTGCCCGCTGAGTAATCCTTGCCTTGATTCCAGGGTAAATGGCCTGAGAAGATGCGATGTTGAGATTCCATAGGAGGAAACATCCCCAGAAGACTCGGACCATTTTTGTATACATCTGCAATTAACCAACATTCATAGTTCCTTAATTATTCTTAACTTTATCATTACTCAATTCCATACAGCAATTCTAGGCATCCTCATTTTCTTCACTCATTCCAGAACTCCATCTATGCATCTACCCACCTATCCAGCCATCCATTCACCTGTTGAACATGGCAGAACATGTTCAAGGTGTTGAGATTTCAGAGATGACCTATTTACAGCTCTTGACCTTTACTTCCCACGGACTAAAGAGTGAGTCAGACGTACATAAAGATGTTTCTAAGGCAGTAAGATATGAGGCAATATGATATAAAAGCCTCACAGTGAATGCCGTGATGAGAACATGCTTCTAGAAGGATGTTGGGGGAATTCTTGGCATGTTTGGAATTAACAGTAGTTTAGAAAGATGACCTTTGTGGTCATGACATTTGATCCCCCCTATCTAGACAGTAGAAAATAGGACATAGGGGCATAGGACTATGAGTGTCTTTCTGAAAGGGCAGAGAGAGTAAGAATAGCACAGCTCCTCAGCGTTTCAGAGCAGAAAGCAGATAAAGAGCCTGTAGCCCAGCCACACGATGCCTTAGAGCCATCGCAGTGACAAGAGGTTCATTTATTCATTGTTGTCTTTCAGATTTGACTCCATTTTGGTACCAAGAATGATGTTAATTAGGGAAATAACTTGGAAAGTGAGGGAGGGAAAGAATATCTCACAAGTCCAGATTTTAGCCGAACAGTTCCAGGGCACAATTCTTCAGTTAGTCTAGGCTCCGGTTTCAGTTCAGTAAGCAGATTTCGCTTTCATCAATAAAGGCAAGAACAGCAATACCCTTTAACTGTGGCCTTTGTTTCAGAACTCCTCTGGTAACACCTTGCCACAGCTTCTCCACAGCAATGCCTCAGTCTCTCCACCGTTATCACCAGGGTCTCACCACCAGGGTCTCTCTGTCAACAGGATTTTGCCCCATTTCCCCCTCAAGTCTTGTTCCCACAAGTCTTGCTACTCAGTGTGGGAACCTCTCTTTTATCTTAGTCCCACAGCTGTTGGTAACTTGCAAGATCATGTGTCTGCAGTTAAAGTAGCTGGAGACCAGAGGGGGCTTAACATCGTGGTTAAAAAAAAAAAAGCTGCACTGAAAAACAAGGAACTCATTTAATATTATTAAAAATGGGTGACCCTGGAGGACATTATGCTGAGTGAGGTATCTCAGTCACAAAGGGACAAATGCTATATGGTGCCACTTTTGTAGGATGAGGCTGGCATCGGGGTGGGGGTAAGGCTGAGAAAAACTGGATGAAATATGTTTACGGCATTGAAGTCTATGGGGGAGAGAATAGTTTAAAAGTATTATATTTTA